CCGGCCCGGCGCCCGGCCCACAACTAGTCCGGTAACAGGGATGCTACATCCTTTCTGCCCATGCAAACGAAGACATATCCGAAGACGACGACGGACCACCAGAAACGCCTACAACCAACACCAGGAGACTCCAGAGCTACCACCGACGTCGACGAGAATTGCCTCGCGACCAACGACGAAGACAAAAGTACTTGCCATGTGGTTTTAACTTCGCCCTGTGAATTCAATGGCAACGCAAACAAAAAAATCAGACGGAACAAATACCCGCACCCCATGTATGTCCACACCATGAACCCCTACACTGACCTCATCATATTGAAGCAAGAATACCGCGACCCAGACTTCCACGGAAAATTCTCAAACAAATGTAATTTCTCGAAAAGGACGACGATCCTGATTGTACCAAACTACAGAGGTTGTACTGTTCAAGTATAAAGCGTCGATTTGCATATTAAACTGCGACCAACTCTCCTGTGGGCCATAAACTGCGAGCGACCATGAAGACCCCATCCTTCCACAGATCTCAAGTATCAGCTATTGGTTCTGGTGATGGCTCCAATGTGCCTCCGCTTACGGGCTGTTCATGCGCGTACCACCTTTTGGGTGGCTTAATCTTTATCAATCAATCAGTTATTATAAGTACTAACAAAACAGGAGGATGGGCTGAATATTGACGCTTTATATGCATTGTGTTGCGGATCTTAGTTCCCTTTCCTACTGGGCGTCACTGATCACCACAGGGGAGCACCCCAGTCCACTACGGGGGACAGTTCCTTCCCAGAACCCGGCCTAGCACCCATAACAACTCACAGGATGAGTATGAGGTGCACAATAAACTAGTCGGAGCTGATGACAATAATTGCCATCAGACCTTAGGTTAGGTTTGGTTAGTATGGCCTAGGTTAAGAGAGGTTTATTAGTTAATTATTTAAAAATTATGCCAATTGTAAACAAAATTACGCATTTGGTAACCTAGAAATAACGTTAAAAGTCACTAAATAACGCAGCGTTGTATTCTGGTCGTATCTCAGTGTTTTCTAACTAAACACAAGTTACGTTGTGTTGTTACTATTCTGTACCCAAATAGTGCAGTGTACCGTGAACCGGTCTACCATCCGCACTCTGTCACAGTTGTCACGATTTCTTTATACCACAGCTTCTTGTAGTGTGTGTGTGTATAGATATATATAATGAAACATTCTCTCCCTTAGTCCCCTACGGTCTCACTATAGCCGTCCTACATGGAACTCTTTGTTCCAAGTAGCGAATCTTAAACAACAACAACACTCTCACCCTTATTGAATTCAAAGTTATTAAGTCAGGTATACTTAGATATCTTGTAGGTAGCAGCTGTGTCAATATTTCCCTGACAGAGTCATCCCAGTGCCCATACATTAATATATATTGGTATGTGGGTCACAATTAGGAAAATAATACAATTATTATGTCAACATTTCACAAAAGTATAAATAAATCGTTCTTTAGAGCATATATACCAGTTACGCCCAGTAACTTAATGTTCACTTATCAGCCAGCCATCTATTTCTCTATCTGTCTCTTAGCTCAGTTGGTAGAGCGCCAGTTCGCTGATATTTGCTGGAGGTCGCAGGTTCGAATCCTGTAGAGGCTACAATTTTTTTGTTAATAAGCCAAAGATATTGATTATTATTAGATCCTAATTAAAATACACAGTTGTTGAGAAAGTAGAGCATGTTTGTTGTTGCCAACAATGCCACCAATAATGTCTTAAGTTGTTAATTATGAGCTTCATGAAACAACTATTTCCTACTGGATTATACAGAAATATAAAATATCAATGAGTGAAATATCACTCATTATATCATTCATACAATGTCTGTATAAGCAGAGCTCTCATACCAGTTTTCATAGAGGGGGTTCAGGTTTAGTAATATACACAACTCTTGCATTAATAGTATACGAAACCTCTGAAACCTGAACGTTCATTGTACATTGGTAAAAGTTCAGGACGAAATTGAGAGCGACTTTCTTAGACGAAGGAGTTTTTGATTGATGATGGCGGGAGGCTGTTTATTTTATAGAGATGAACAACAAATTATAATTGATGACCTCATGATGTTGTTGAACGACTCTCACACTCACATAACTAGGATACTACATACCCTAGCTCGTCCTCGTAACGGGCTGGGGATATAGTTCCTGGTTCTCGTTCAAGTTGTAGCGCAATTGTAAACTATTAATGCACGAGTTGTGTATGTTTAAACCTATTCCGGTCTTTGAAGACTTGTATAACAGCTCTGCTAATACAGAGGTATACACACAGTTATATTTCTGCATAATTCGGTGCAAATGGTTGCATGATAAAATTTTGAAATAATGATACGAATGTTGCTAACAACAATCAGAATCTATTTTTCTTAACAAAGTTGTGCATCAAAATGGTAATCTAGGACGTCAATCACTTTGGCTTGTAAAAACATTGTAGCCTCTACAGGAATCGAACCTGCGACCTCCAGCAAATTTCAACAACTGGCGCTCTACCAACTGAGCTAAGAGACAGATAGAGAAATAGATGGCTGGCTGATAAGTGAACATTGGGTTACTGGGCGTAACTGGTATATATGCTCTAAAGAACGGTTCATTTATACTTTTGTGAAATGTTAACAATAGTAATTGTATTATTTTCCTAGTTGTGACCCACATACCAATATATGGTAATGTGTGAGTACTGGCCTGACTCTGTCAGGGAAATATTGACACAGCTGCTACCTACAAGATATCTAAGTATACCTGACTTAATAACTTTGAATTCAATAAGGGTGAGAATGTGGTTGTTGTTGTTTAAGATTCGCTACTTCGAACAAACAGTTCCAAGTAGCACGGGCTATAGTGCTAGCCATAACACCCACAGACCGACACTGAAGGTGACCTTCATCGTGGCCATCACAGCGACCCACGCCATGAAACACGGACTTAAGTGACTGCACCGGACTCACCATTCCAGCCGCCCAAGTGATCCAGGAACGATATATGGACCTTCGTCAGTGCTTCAAGTGCTACGGGTACTCCCACTACACCAGGAAGTGCACCGAGTAAGTGCAGAAATGCAGTATCTGCGCCCAGGAGCACCACTACACGGCCTGCACATCCTCCCACCGACGCTGCCTACTCTGCTATGGCCAGCACACTGCAGTTTCACCTGTCACCATCGGGAGGTGGAAATAAAAAAAGATGACGGCAAACACTACCTCCACCGCACCTCAGCTAGCCATCCCGCCTACGACCGCTTTCCCGGCCTTGCCCGAGAACACACCTGTGGAAGCTGCTTTTTCCTCAACACCACCTGCTCCCTCGTCTCCGCAGCCCTCACTACCGCCAACCAAAACTGCAGTTACCACCAACAACACCCTGTTACCGGTACTTCTACACCTCGCCGAAAAATTGGCGGGTAACGACGTAAACCTATGCGGCCACACCATCAACCGGCTGCTCACGCGAATGGACTACGGTCGGTGACGGTACCAGGTGACCTTCTCCCAGCTCCTGGACTTGTGACCGGCCCGGCATCCGGCCCCACAACCAGTCCGGTAACAGGGATGCCACATTCTGGCTGCCCGTGCCAACGAAGACATCACATGATAAGACGACGACTGACCACCCGAAAGTCCCACAACCAACACCATTAGACTCTTCAGAGCCACCACCGACATCGACGAGAATAGCCTCGCGACCAACGACGACGACAAAAGTTCTTGCCATGTGCTCTTCACTTCGCCCACTGAGTTCAATGGCAACGCACACAATAGAAAATCAACCAGAACAAATACCCGCACCCCATGTATGTCCACGCCAACACCATGACCTAATACACTGACCTCACCATACTGAAGCAAGAATACCGCGACCCAAAATTCTACCACAAATTCCTAGACAATTACAATTTCTCGAAAAGGAGGACGATCCTGATGGTACCAAACTACCGAAGTTATACTGTTCATGTATAAAGTGTCGTCTTGCACATTAAACTGCGACCAAGCCTCCTGCTGGCCATAAACTGCGAGCGACCATGAAGGCCCCATCCTTCCACAGATCCCAAGTATCAGCTATTTGCTACTGGTAATGGCTCCAAAGAGCCTCCACCTACGGGTTATTCATGCCGGTGCCACCTATAGGATGGCTTAATCTTTATCAATCAGTTACTGTAAGTACTAACAAAGCAGGAGGACGGGCTGAATATTGAAGCTTTCTGCATTGTGTTGCGGAGCTTAGTTCCCCTTCCTACTGGGCGTCACTGATCACCACAGGGGAGCACCTCAGTCCACTACGGGGAAGAGTTCGTTCCCAGAATCAGGCCTAGCACCCATAACAACTCACAGGATGAGTATGAGGTGCACAATAAACTAGCCGAAGCTGATGGCAACAATTACCATCAGACCTCAGGTTAGGTTTGGTTAGAATGACTTAGGTTAAGAGAGGTTTATTAGTTAATTAGTTAAAAATTATGCCAATTGTAAACAAAATTACACATTTGGTAACCTAGAAACAACATCACTAAATAACGCAGCGTTGTGTTCTGGAAGTATCTCAGTGTTTTCTAACTAAACGCAAGTTACGTTGTGTTGTTGATATTCAGTACCCAAATAGTGCAGTGTACCGTGAACTGGTCTACCATCCGCACTCTGACACAGTTGTCACGATTTGTCTTATACCACAGCTTCTTGTAGTGTGCTTATAGATGTATATAATGAAACCTTCTCACCCTTATTGATTTCAAAGTTATTTAGTCAGGTATATATATAGATGTCTTGAAAGTAGCAGCTGTGTCAATATTTCCCTGACAGTCATGCCAGTACCCATACTTTATCATATATTGGTATGTGGGTCACAACTAGAAAAATAATACAATTACTATTGTTAACATTTCACAAAAGTATAAATGAACCGTACTTTAGAGCATATACACACCAGTTACGCCCAGTAACCCAATGTTCACTTAAAAGTCAATCATCTACTTCACTATCTGTCTCTTAGCTCAGTTGGTAGAGCGCCAGTTTGACGATATTTGCTGGAGGTCACAGGTTCGAGTCCTGTAGAGGCTACAAATTTTTTCTTTATAAGCCAACGATATTGATTATTATTAGATCATAAATAAAATACACAGCTGTTAAGAAAAATAGAGCTTGTTTGTTGTTGCCAACATTGCCACCAATAATGTCTGAGTTGTTAATTATGAGCTTTATAAAATAACTAATTCCCACTGGAATATACAGAAATATAAAAGATGAGTGAGTGAAATATCACTCAATGTATCACTCATACAATGTATAATCAGAGCTCTCATACCAGTCTTCATTGAGGGGTTCGGGTTTAATAATATACACAACTCTTGCATTAATAGTTTTCAATACCTCTGAAACCTGAAAGTTCATTGTACATTGGTACAAGTCCATTGCACCAATGTTCATTGACAGTAAATTGGTACAAGTTCCAGATAACAGTCTAACCTTGTACCACTAAAAGTAAGTGTAAGTGGTACAGGTTCCTGGCGAAAGTCTAACAGGGTACAGGGTCCTCGCTTCTATCTAAGAGAGTACAGTGGTATTTTATCCTGGCTACAGTCAGCTAAGACATTACAGTGGATCTGTGTCCTGGTTACAGTACAAGACTACTCCACAGAAACTAACTTGTATTGGATCCTGGCTACATTCTATGACGGTAGAGTGGTACTGGGTCCTGGACACAGCCAAAAACTGTATCAGACCAACTTCTGTGGTAATTACCTACAACTGCCGTATTTTTGTAGATTACTTCAAGACGTACGGGCAAATGACTTTCCAATTTTAATCAATGTGAAGCAGGCGCAGCATTGTGAACAGATTACTCGGAAGAGTGTTAGTTTGTCGAGTGTTAGTACATATCCAAATGCTTTAACCTTTCTAATAAACGTGATCTAAGGATGGCCTACCCATCCTTTTTATCTTTCCTTTTCTTTCTCCTCTTATTTTTTGCGTTCCTATTCTTGTACACGTTATTACCCCTTTCTTACACCCCCTTTATTAAACCCATCATATCCGTACCTTTCGCATTCTCTTACCTTCCTCTAGGAATGTCCTCTTCCTCACCTCTATCTTGCCTTAATGCCCGTGCCTCCCTCGTTTCCCTGCTCTACCTGTTGTACAGGTTAAAATATCTCCAAGGTTTTCACAGAATAAGAAGCAAATCAAGAAAATAATCTGCAACTGGAAAAAAACGAGGAACTCTGTAGAGTAAGGCAGATCCTAGTCAATAATGGTTTCTCTAACAGTTATGCTGAAGAAGTTTTTTAAAAGAAAGATGCATTAGGAGAAATGTTCAATCCCTGGGCGGATTCGATCCCTGCCCGAGGATCGAACTCATTATCCACGAATGTGACTGGAGAACTAAGTTCTTGTCTCCAATCTTTCGTTCCGGAAACATATCCCATTCGGCCATCATGGTCAGACTTCTCCTCCTTATTCCTGCGTCGACGTGAGTGCACTCAAACCTGGTGGAGGTTAGAGTGCACTAACCTGGTGCACCGGGTAGATTACTTCTTGCACTCCTGAACAACTCTGTAACTGTCTTGTTACTACCACTCTCCTCGCTCTTTTTCTCACCCGCAATAATGCTCGCTTGAGTAGTGACTGAACGCGATGCTGCGTCTCTTCCGAGAGGCTATATAGCGCGTTTCCCCCAGGGCGTGTACCCCTGTATATAGTTCCTCTCCCTTCCTCATCCTGGATTTCATACTCTTGAGATTGCTCCTCGTCCGGTATATGGAATACACACGATGAGTATGGGGTCCACATTTATTTGACGCTCACAGGATGAGTATAGGGTGCACAACACACAATCGCTCACAGGATGAGTATAGGGTGCACAACACACAATCGCTCACAGGATGAGTATAGGGTGCACAACACACAATCGCTCACAGGATGAGTATGGGGTGCACAATAAACTAGACGCAGCTGATGGCAACAATTACCATCAAACATCAAATTAGCTTTGGTTTGAATGGCTTAGGTTAAGAGAGGCTTATTAGTTAATGGGTTAGACATTATGCCAATTGTAAACAAAATTATGCATTTGGTAACCTAGAAACAGCGTTAAAAGAACGTCGCTAAATAACGCAGCGTTGTGCTCTGGTCGACTCTCAGTGTTTTCTAACTAAACACAAGTTACGTTGTGTTGATGTTATTCTGTACCCAAATAGTGCAGTGTACCGTGAACCGGTCTACCATCCGCACTCTGACACAGTTGTCACGGCTTGTCTTATACAACAGCTTCTTGTAGTGTGTTTATAGATGTATATAATGAAACCTTCTCACCCTCATTGAATTCAAAGTTATTAAGTCAGATAGATATAGGTGTATTGTAGGAAGCAGCTGTGAAGTACTGGCATGATATTTCCTCGAATATCATGCCAGTACTCATACATTACCATATAATGGTATGTGGGTCACAACTAGGAAAAAAAATACAATTACTATTGTTAACATTTCACAAAAGTATAAATGAACCGTTCTTTAGAGCATATATACACCAGTTACGCCCAGTAACTTAATGTTCACTTATCAGCCAGCCATCTACTTCTCAATCTGTCTCTTAGCTCAGTTGGTAGAGCGCCAGTTCGACGATATTTGCTGGAGGTCACAGGTTCGAGTCCTGTAGAGGCTAAAAATTTTTTCTTTATAAGCCAACGATATTGATTATTATTAGATCATAATTAAAATACACAGCTGTTAAGAAAAATAGAGTTTGTTTGTTGTTGCCAACATTGCCACCAATAATGTCTGAGTTGTTAATTATGAGCTTTATAAAATAACTAATTCCCACTGGATTATACAGAAATATAAAAGATGAGTGAGTGAAATATCACTCATTGTATCACTCATACAATGTATAATCAGAGCTCTCATACCAGTCTTCATTGAGGGGTTCGGGTTTAATAATATACACAACTCTTGCATTAATAGTTTACAATACCTCAGAAACCTGAAAGTTCATTGTACATTGGTACAAGTCCATTGCACCAATGTTCATTGACAGTAAATTGGTACAAGATCCAGATAACAGTCTAACCATGTACCACTAAAAGTAAGTGTAAGTGGTAAAGGTTTCTGGCGAAAGTCTAATAGAGTACAGGGTCCTCGCTTCTAAGAGAGTACAATGGTATTTTATCCTGGCTACAGTCAATTAAGAAATTACAGTGGCTCTGTGTCCTGGTTACAGTTTAAGGCTACTCCACAGAAACTAACTGGTATTGAATCATGGCTACTGTCAAAGACGGTAGAGTGGTACTGGGTCCTGGATACAGCCAAAAACTGTACCTAACCAACTTCTGTGGTAATTACCTATAACTGCTGTATTTTTGTAGATTACTTCAAGACTTACAGACAAATTTCTTTCCAATTTTAATCAATGTGAAGCAGGCGCAGCATTGTGAACAGATTATTAGGAAAAGTGTTAGTTTGTCGAGTGTTAGTACATATTGAAATGTCTTATACCACAGCTTCTTGTAGTGTGTTTATAGATGTATATAATGAAACCTTCTCACCCTTATTGAATGAAAAGTTATTAAATCAGGTATATATATATGTATCTTGCGGGTAGCATCTGTGTCAATATTTCCTTGACAGAGTAAAGCCAGTACCCATACATAACCATATATTGATATGTTGTTCACAACTAGGAAAATAATAAAATTAGTATTGTTAACAGTTCACAAAAGTATAAATGAACCGCACTTTAGAGCATATATATACTATTTACGCTCAGTAACCTAATGTTTATTTATCAGACAACCATCCATTACTCTATATGTCTCTTAGCTCAGTTGGTAGAGCGCCAGTTAGCTGATATTTGCTGGAGGTCGCAGGTTCGAATCCTGTAGAGGCTACATTTTTGTTTGGTTTATAAGTCAACGATATTGATTCTTATTAGATCATGATTAAAATACACAGCTGTTAAGAAAAATAAAGCTTGTTTGTTGTTGCCAACATTGCCACCAATAATGTCTGAGTTGTTAATTATGAGCTTTATAAAACAACTATTACCAACTGGATTATATAGAAACATAAAATAGCAATGAGTGAAATATCACTCATTGTATCACTCATACAATGTATAATCAGAGCTCTCATACCAGTCTTCATTGAGGGGTACGGGTTTAATAATATACACAACTCTTACAATAATAGTTTACAATACCACTGAAACATCAAAGTTCATTGTACCAATATTCATTGACAGTACGTTGGTACAAGTTCCAGATAACAGTCTAACCTTGTACCACTAAAATTAAGTGGTACAGGTTCCTGGCGAAAGTCTAACAGGGTACAGGGTCCTCGCTTCTATCTAAGAGAGTACAATGGTATTTTTTTCTGGCTACAGTCAACTAAGACATTACAGTAGATCTGTGTCCTGGTTACAGTTTAAGGCTACTCCACTGAAACTAACTGGTATTGGACCCTGGCTACGGTCTAAGACGGTAGAGTGATACTGGGTCCTGGACACAGCCAAAAACTGAATCAGACCAACTTCTGTGGTAATTACCTATAACTGTCGTATTTTTATAGCTTACTTCAAGACTTACAGACACATTTCTTTCAAATTTTAATAAATTTGAATAGAATTAATCTTGCTTCATTTAAAATCTCGAGTGTTGAATCTTCAGATTCCTTAAGCAGACACTGAGTGATAATTCCTGCCCTCGGGGACAGGAAGCCTGTCCATATAGGCTTACTTATAGGTCTTTTACTTATATATGGCTTACTTATAGGTCCACCTAAACGAACTACTGCCCTTCTCCAAGATGCAACCCCACAACAGTTGCCTGACTCCCTGCCGTTCCTATGTTGCAACTAGGGGAACAGCAGCATCAGGTGAAAGAAAACGTTCTACGATAAATATATTATTAAAGTAAATTTGTTATCATTTATAAATAACTGATCACAACAACGTCTTGAAAACGTAAATCTAATAAGTTTCCATAGATACGAAATTGACCAAGGTCTTTAAACACGCGACGAATTAGTACAATTTAAAGTTATGTAATGTTGACGATTGATTGATTGAT